ACCGTGAGCATAATAACCTAGGAAAGAAAATTGGGGACATATTTGCATATGCAAAGATATCCATACTATCTTGGGCATCAGAGACAAAATAGCCTGGTTAACAGGCTGCTGTACTTACCCATGCTACTGTATTTCTGCGCATGCTACACTGTACTGTGCAGAACCTAGATGGTTTCTGAACAGAGACTTCCAGAAATATCTAACCTTCCTAATAAAATTGCAGTTTAACTTTTTAGGAGTAAACTAAATAATTAGTAATTATTTTAGCTTCATCACAGAGGACATTTTTTTCCATTTTCAATCTATTCAGACTTACAGAGTAAGCATGAAAAATACCCTTGCATATTATATGAAAACTATATTTTGCTTCAGGAAAGGAGTAGATTTAGGTGATCTTATGCAAAATTTTGAAAGAAAGTCTGTTCAATGTTACTGAATGAGGCAGCAGCAATGGAGGATATTTGGAGACAGGAGGAAGCTTCCCATTTTTAATACTTAACCACTTCTATTTGCTCTTTAAGTCTAAGAGGGAGGCCTTAATAAGAAGCATACTAACATGACCACTGAAGGTTCTTCTTTACTTTTTTTTTAAAAAAAACTTTCATCTTTCCAACAAAATTCCTTATTATTTTCCCTGCATTTCCTTTTTTTTTTTTTTTTTTTTAACTAAACTGCGCAGCAGATGAGAGCCATGCACTAGAAGCATAAACATGAAGTTAACTTGTTGCACTTTACCCTGTCATTCTATTCTGGGATAATGCTTTTATCTGTTATCATTACTTCTAAATTTTATTTATGTTTGTGTTGTTAGACTGCATTTGGGGACTACTCCTTATCTACCAGGCTCCCTTTGCTATTCTCCTTTCCAGTACACTGTTGTCAGCTGACAACATCTTGTTCTTATTTATACGCTGAAACATTTTTATTGCCAAACCTTCTCTTTCAGCATGCATGCCTGACTTCCACTGAACACAGGAGCAGGATTATGAGTGAAATAATGTATGTGAAACAAGTGATAAATCGACAGGATTAGAACATATAGCACAAATAACAGGAAAAAATCAAACCACAAAATAATTCCTGAAAAAGTGTGGCAAATAAAATATTAAGGTTGAAGAACATTTTTACTCTGCAGATATTACATTTAATTTATTCCATTTTTCAAAAACACTTACATGAATTTCTGTAAGCAAAGTATTTGTTTTGCAGGAGAGAGAGTAATAGTTATGCTCAAAATCACAAAGAATCCAATAAAATGCCTAAACAGTATAGTTCAGTTTTCACAGGTAGATTTACCCTTTAACAATCACCGTAACAATCTACACCGAACAGACTGAGTTCTGCTCAAATTATAACGAATTTTCAGCAGTACATCCAGCTGATTAAATACAATTCTCCATATGTTTTGGCCAATTGCTTATTTAAGATCTTATTTAAAACTCCTTAGAAGTTACGTAACTTTTCTGGAGACTAAAAGAGAAAGCGTTTCAGATCCTATCCAACACAAAGCTGGTCTGGACATGCAATATTATAATGGGTATCAGTAGATACCAGAAAAAGGCAGTGAACTAGGCTACTGTATAAGCAGCATTTCTTTATAGTTCCTGAACCCATAGTGATAATATGTGAACTTTGCTCTAAAAATTCTTTTTTTACCTTGCCAGATAGCAAAATACACTACCTAGATAAAAAATTCATCTGAGGAAAAAAAAAAAAAATCCATCCGATCAAAGAGAGTAACCGTAAGGTAGCAAATGAAAGGAAATGGAAGTGTAATTTCTCAAATATTCCTATCTTGCCACTATACACATGATAGTAATTGGTACAGAATTCACTGCTACTGACTTTGCTGCTTCTCTGGACAAGTGGTGCCTCCATTCAAGCGATAAAGTCTGTTTAGCCTGCTTTCTTTTCTTAGCGAAAATAGAACATTTCAAATATCATCTTTCCAGTCAGGGACCTTCTCATTTCCTGCATTTCCCTTGTAAAAGCAGTTACTACTCTTTCCGTACTTTGCTCAGCAGCCACTTGTTGGCATCATTCCTCTGCATGAGATCCCTTGGCAGAATCACATACGTGAAGTCATACTTTCTACACAATCTCAACAGCACTTGGTGATGAAAAGATGGCAGAGATGGATAATGAAAACAGCTTTTTAATAGGTCTGAACGACTCACAATTTTCCAGTATGAAATCTGTAGATTCTGAAATGATACCAGCCTACACTAAAGGAGATTATGAGTTATAAATCATAATCAAGGAAACGAGAAAAGTAGATGGCTATCAAGATGAATGTTGGCATCAGGATGCTATATGAAAATTATCTGATGTTTCTAAAGGTTCAAAATCGCAGCAATACAAATCAGATTTATGGAAAGTGATGTCTCACGTATGTGATCTGAAACACTAAGCAATTCCTGAAAAAAAAAGGTGCACTGGCTTTCATCATGTCAGCAAGACAACATCGTTATTGCTGAAGTATTCAAGTAGCTCATCACTGACAGAGATAATAGTACCAAGTGTTAATTGCAAATAACTTTTTTAAGCAATTTTTCCCTTAGTCTCTCAAGTTTAAAACAACTCTTCCAAAACAAGCCTAAATTAGAATCATTAACAAGCAGAGAAGAATACGCTTTTATCCTTGTACACTTTGCCAATGCGGTGTTCCTCATTTTCATTCTCTGGTTAGACTGAGGAAACTTTATCATCATGATGGACCAGTTTCTTTTCCAAGTATATGAGAGTACTTACCAGCTGTAAAGCTGCAGAGAAGTCTTCTGTGCTTTCAACACTCTCAAAAAGAATTAGAAGCCTCCTTCTGCTAGTTTTATATCCATTTTGGGAAGAAATTTCCCTTAGACAGCTTCCACTAATTGCCACAAAGACTTGTACAAGACTCCAAAGGCAAAATAGTAGCCTTTCTTTTCTAATATAAGACTAATCTAAATCCCCTCTCTGCCTTTTTCCTGTGGAGGCAGGCAAACAGTAAACAGCAGGAGAATCCTGCTTGGTTGCCTCACTTGCTAAAGCAGTATAAAAGCAGAAGGAAGTTTCCAAAGTAATTGCTGTGATAAAAGGAGTTGTCAAGGCTAAAAGCCAGATGTGGCTCGAGAAGACTGTTTTTAAACTCTGAAGCACTTTGTTCAGTAGGTCAGGACACACGAAGATCGAGACATAAAAAGTGCATTTTTGTTTAAACTTAATACAAATACAAGGCTTCTCTTTAAACTTTGACAGAAAGTTAGCTTACTGCCTGCCTATAAACTTTATATCAGTCCTGAATGCAGGGCTTGGAGAAAACACAGCCAGCGGTCATTTTATATTTTACATGAAAACACAAAAAATATTTTGCTTTAGGACAATGAAATGCCTGTTACTAGATAGATGTTACCTGTTGCTAGATTTTTTTTTTTTGGTTCTCTATAACATAGCCTAAATTCTGCAGATTCTGCATTATGTTTTCTCTCTTTTAGGCCACATTTAACATAAAAGGCTTTGTCTACCTAAACAACAAATAATGGATGTTCTTGTTTGATTTATTTCATTAATTCTGCTAGCCTTGCAGAAACAAAAAAAAAATTCAGTGAACACAAAAAGTTCTCATTGCAACCCTTCTCTGTCATTATCAAAGTTTTGTTTTCATGTCACAGATTTTCAATCTGTAAATATGATTACCTGTAAACTTCTCTAAAAGTTATTAGAGAGCTATTATTATAAAAGTCGTCTGCTAAAAACATCCCATGAAATGAAATCTCAGAGATCACATCAACCTGCTACCTGTGTTGCAGAATCCTGTAGTAATGACAACCAGTGTGGCCGAGAGAACAAGTTTTACACGTCACATGACTCCTGTGAAACATGTATTCAATGCTAAAATCACAAAGTGCTACAGCTACAATAGATGAGAGAAGTGTATAATGGTCTACTGAAAGGTATATTGTCTGTAAAGCACAGAACCTTAAAGCAATTTCAGCCTTTCCAGATTTGTAGCATGGGATTATTCATGCCTTTATATACCAAAAATCAGAGAATCGCTGGTAAAAAACCCAACAACTGTGCTGCAGAATACATGACTTCCAGTGACTGAAGAAGAAAATTATTCAGAACTTCTTGAGGTTAGGTCGTTTGTCATACATGTACAAGCAATTATGCTTAAAGGAAAGGAGAATTAAGGGTCTCCTAGTCCAGAATGGGAACAAAAAAAACCCCACATGTTTTGAACTGAAAATCTGTCATAATTCTTTGGCATTACAGTGGATGAACCGCTGTAGAAAATGCATTGTGATGAATACTGTGATTAGGTAATTACTAAGCAAGATAACATGTCAGTTTTACCTGGTAAGATGGCTTTTCAGGGCTTTAGTTGCAGTTCCTGAAAATACTCCTACACTCTCCTATACATAAGCAAATTTTATCTTTCATTCAATGTGTCTAGCTATCATCTGGGTTTTGCTTAGAAGGAGAATCGTACAATTTAGATCACTCTCAACTGATTATTTGCTACATGAACTTAATTATTCCAAACTCTCAAAATTTCTTGAGGCCTCCCAGCTTACATGAATTTCTCTCCATGCTGGGAATCCTATGTCCTAAATTCTGTGCAATATAAATTTTTTGAAAGAAGGCTACTGCCTCTTAGATGAGTCAATACAAATCATTAGAATCCTTGACTCTATATGATTTTGGTCGCTTTTGGTACAGACAATTCCATTCACAGATTCTTTTGGTCAAACTATAATAATGGAGTCACCTAAATTTCTTACTGTGAGATGCCTACTTAAGCTGCAACTTATCAAATCTCTTAGAAACTGTATTTTAAAAAAATATATAAGCACATTTTGACAATTGATACAGTTTATTAAAGTTTTGTGTCCATTACCTTTAAAGATGATTTAGTTCGAGGTTCTGTTTTTTGTCTGGTAAGCTTGTTTTGAATAAGCAATGACTGATCTGTACGAGCATCATAATTTCCATGTTCTGAATCATCTGTGTACGTGTCTTTGTCCTTTCCTATGTCTGAAGGAAAAACAGAAGAAAACAGTGTGCTCATTTTAGGTTATAGTGGAGACAAACTAACAGTATTGTTACAGCCACAGTTGAATATTCCTTTTAAGTATTCACTTCTCAATAAATTATATTCTATCCTTTCCTGCAGAATTTTTTTACTTGAAATGTTATCGGTTTGTCTTAAACTAGAAGTGACTTCTATTTTTTGTAGAAGGCCCATAGACACTTTTTTAATTACCATTCAAATAAAAAAAAAGCCCACAACATTCTTCAGAGTAGTTTTAAAAACCTCACAAAGCTCTGTAAAGCAAATATTCAAATGCTTTTGTCCTTGACTCACAATTGTCAAGACTCAAAATGTGTTATCAAATAGGCAGGTACATCCTGGAGACCAGAGTAAGATCTCATGATTTAAATTTAAATAGGCAATCGAAATGCCCAATTTCCCTTCACACGTGTTGCTCATCATTAGATAAAATACTTGAAAATTTGCATATTAAGGTATTGCAGTAACCACTTCAGAACACATTTTAAGAGATGTACCTGATGGTGGTAGAAGATAGTAGGCACCATGAAGAAAGTGTTTTCCATTTCAACAGAGTTGTTTTTAATGGTTCAACAAAATTTTTTATAAAAACTTAGTTGTGTATCCTACAATAGCTGCAGATGACTGAGGACCTTCCTCAAAGCTTGTTAAGACCCACTCTCACAGATTAAATTTCCTCCTGCATCATCACTGCAGGCAAGTTAGAAGGACTTACGTCTCTGAGTCACACTACATCCTCTATCAGAAGGGAGACTTTTTTTCAGACATTTAATTTCCTTGCACATTCTCCATCAAAAATTCATGACAATACTTACCATACATACCCAGCAGGAGTAAAATGAGGGATAAAGCCTGTACAATGTTGGACCATGTAAGTTTTAATTAATGCTGGAACATGGTTAGTCTTGAAAAAAATATTTTAAAGATGAAAAAGATGGAATAATTATTCCCACACAATTATATCTTGGACAAATTGGAAATAGAAACATATTCAAAAAAGTTACCCACAAATCCTGAGCCAAGTTCTCATCTCAGCTTTCGTATCAACATGGGAAAAGTCAGGGGAACTGGGAACAGCATTTAGCCCAGTAATGCTAAACCCTAAATAGAGGCCAAGAAACAAGTCATGGTTGCTGTGGGAACCACAATCTTGAATTTCCTGAATTTTATATTCATAAAAGCTCATCTGCAACAACAAAGTATTTTTCATTAAGTTGTTCAGTTAAATTCTCCACAGTAAGTACTACAGAAAAAAAAATAACCACAACTATCTCATGTAGCCTAAACATTTCTGAGATGGAATATTAAACTGGAACATTTTCCAAGAGCTCTTTTTTCTGCAATTTAGCTACTTACACAATGCTTACACAAAATGAGCTCTCGGTAATTCCCAATATTGATATTAACCTCAGTAAATCTGTGAAAGGATTTCCTAATGTACTAAATAGCACCAAAATCAGAGATTTTATTTATTTCAAACAATGTTTTAACTTAATATACAGCTTACACTCAGTTCAACAAAAATGACTGCAGTAAAAAGACTGTGAAGAAGGTTGCAAGGAGCAGATATACAAAGTAGGAAACAGGATACTTAAGCAACTTCTCGGAATTGACTCATGCCCAGATGTGATCAGCTCTTAGCTTTACTAAAGATCAAGGTCTTGTAATAGAAGCCAGTAAAATGAAAAGAGACAGGCCTATGAAACCAAACTCTTGCACCTAGATAGGCCATTTAAGCAAAAAGAAAGACTCTACTTAGATTAAAAAGTCTATTTTTATGAGGGAAGTTTTAGAGGATTAGACATTACGAGCACACCTAATACTCAAAAAACCCCACTTTTGCAAAAGTAGATAATGTTTTATTTATATAATTTAAAGTTATGAAATGAGTTTTCCTTATTGCTCAACATACTTTTACCTGCTAAACATTTTTATGTTTTCAAGGAGACAGCTTTTGTAGCATGTATTTTCTGTAAAAAAAAGAGATTACTTCTGTTTAGAGATACCTGCTCTCTTGTCTGAAATGTAGTCAAAAAAGGTTATAGCAACAACACCCCCACACACATAAAAATAAAGAAATTTAGAATTAATAAGGTAGATTTCCTATATAGAATTTAATGATATTTGCTATTGTACCTTTCAGCAGTTGATGACTTATTTTACGCATCTAAAGCACTGCCCCACAAACTCATGGTATCAATATAGTAAAAAGGGGAGGAATGAAGATTAAAATATAGCATTTAAACAGTGCACATGAATCAACTTTTGTTACACCTGTCTGAAAAAAATGTCAGACTGAGACACGTAGCATACCATCTATATTTTAAAAGTATATCCAAAAGTGTGCACTATTCTTAACATTCATGCAGTTTTATCCATTAATGTAAAAAAACCCACCAAAAGCATGCTTTGTAGATACTTTGAATAGACTAGCTGGCCCATTTACCTCTTCTGTAGCATACATTAAAACAAAAATCTTGAATATAAATAATTATACTCAAAGAAAAAGTTCAATGGATTTTGTGTGTGTTTTAGGAGGCTCATTTTGTTTCTGAAGTTGAACTTTTTGTAAATTTCTTTTGATTAGTTTCAATTTTTTTAATGAGTTAAATATGTTGAGTTTAGAAAAAGATCTTTAGAGAAGATGACAGAAATGAAAAGTTACAAAAACATAGTCAGTGCTATTTTAGTGGCATTCTTCTATGACCAAGTGCTGTTTCTGTAATAAGGTATCCACCGCTTTTATTAAGAGAGAAAGTCTCTCCTGTAATTTTCCCACCCACCAAGCCAAAATTACATTCTCCTACTAATAAACTTACACAACCTAAATTAACTTGAGCTTGATCGCTCCTAGTGTCACCAATGCGTGCTATGACACAATGCACACAGTTACTTAACTCCTTAAGCCTTTCTTCAGTAAGGGGAGTTTTTAAACTTCCATGACATTTTTATATAATGGTTGTCAACAGAGTAACACTACTTTCTGCCATCCTTCCCTATTGTTTGGGTTTACATTTTAACTGCCGTTTGGGATTGCCGCAAGCCAAACCAAGATAGCATCCCTGAATGTTGTGGCTGGAGTTGTACCACCTAAAGATGTTTTTAATGTAACATACCCCAAAAGCAGTGACACGGACTAACAGCCTTTCTATTTGACTTGCATTATAAGCATCCATCTTTAAATTCAAACACGGAGCCTTTATTTGGCTGCAGCTCCACAAAATGTCACGAGAAAAGCTTGGCTCCCTCAAGCTCTTTTCCTCTGCACTGTGGGAAAGCTACTGTTTACTTCACTTTTTATTTCCCATCATGCCTTCCCTGGCCTACAACAACGCATTTGGTGGTTGTTGTCATCAAGAACAACTGTCAGCTCTCCCTGCTCTTGTAGTTCTTGGATGGGCTGTAATGCCAACCACCACAAGTAGCGTGCTTGACTTTGGGAGGGGGAGGGTGTAGGCAAGAAGCCACAGGAGATTAAAAAAAAAAACAAAAAAACCAAAAAACCCAAAACCCACAAATCCAGTTCATGTTGCTCTAGAAGCTCAGGCTTTTACACCAATTAACAGAAAGATAGCTCCTTAACAGACCTCAGACCACACTGCCCGCGTCCCCAGGCATCATGTTCTGTTCTCCACTGTTAATAAATGCTGTCCCACCTGTGCTTTGCTGGGCATGTCTGAAAGACATCAGCCAGGAGCATCCCATCTATGTATGTCACTGGAATTCCAAGTGCTTGCAATTTTTTTAATGAAGTGTTTCTAGGGTTTTGTTGTTAGTTTGAGGGTTTTTTTTGGGGGTGGTATTTTATTTTTCCTCTTTTCAGAGCTAAAAAAACGTTGATCAGATTCTCAGCTCACTAAAATACTGTTCTACAATGGCCGATGATCGATGTTTTTATGTTGAAATACATCAGCTGAGCAGATATAGTGTATTTAGCTTTCAGTTAATCTACACTGCAGGTATTAATTCAGTAAGGTATTAGAGCAAACAGTAACTTCCAGAAATGACTAAAAAAATCTAGTTAATGTAAAAATATGCAAAGTTGGCAAAGAGTGTAATAATTGTTTATGAAACATTTTTCCATTTCTTCTTTACTGCAGGATCAAATAAACAAAAAAAACAATCCAAAACATAAAAGAATTTCTGTCCCATTGGGGAGCTCACTTACATTAATGTTAAAATAAATAGCAGATCTAGAGTTCTCTGAAAAACTCTGAAACTCTGCAAAACCTTAAGAGATGTAAAGAAAAGAGGGGAAAAAAAGAGGTGAAAAAAAGCACAATTGGTGTAAAAAAGAAAAATAACAATTCAGTGGGAGGACTGCAAATGGGTGGATGGTACTGGGGTATGCTCAGTCATGTCCATGTCCTCAAAGTGACAAGGCCATCTAAAGGACATCTGTCTTCATTCTTAACCCACTCTTTGTTTTTGAGCTCCTGGTAGGATTAATTTTTTTTCCAAGAATGTTCAGGTAAAATATTATTGCTAATGCAAACAGAATGTGCATGACCCTTTACATGACCTCTTTATTTGAGTTTTCAGAGTACCTACTAAAGGAGGAGAAAGATTTAAATATTTATCCTACAAAATCTTTTATTTAAAAGACTGCGTGCTTGCAGAACAGAGTCAACAACTATATAGAGTAATTATAATGCATTTTTAAGCAATTAGTATAGCCAATATCTTCCTGACGTATTTCACTTATTCAATTCCGTTAATTAAAAGTCGTGTGGCAGTTGAGAGCTTTTTGAACTGTTGCCACATAAAAAGTCTTATTTTAAAAAAAGTCATTAAACACACAATTTGCAAGCCCCAAGTGATCTGTTACAGAAAAAAAAAAATTTATATGTTATTAGGACTTCAAGTCAGGAAAACGAAGGTTTCTGTATTAAACTGCTTAGCTTTCCCTAACACTGAAGATTAAAAAAAAAAAAAAAACCAACTGAATTTTAAATACAGATGA